ATTGTAGCAATAGTTCAAGTTAAATACACAATGGTTCGAGTTCATTACACAATACTACTTATACAGTATTATACTATAATACTGTTCTGACTTACATACAAATTCAACTTAAGGACAGGCCTTGGGAACAGAACTCATTCTTAAACTGGGGACTACCTGTATATGAATTAGCTAACTATGTAACTGATCAATCCAACACACAGCTGCTGTAAAAACAGAGTAAAGAAACGAACAAAGAAACAAGGCAAAATCCATGACTATAATTATTAGGAAGAGAATTGAAAATGGGACTGTCACAATAACAATGCCGTTAAACAAATTTGTGTGAGAGCACATGTGCTGTATTATGTGTAGTTCTAGTTACTGTACCTTCATGATAATATGGTGCAAGGGACAGTGCAGAAAAGGGCATCCAAAATTATTAGTGGGCTGAGGAACTCCCTTATTAATGAAGGCAACTGCCTTGGTTTTTTCTTTAGCTTCAAACAAAGAATAGGGGAGACATCATGTGTATGAAACCATAAATAGCACTGAGGGAGATAAATTTTTCTACCTCTTTCCTAATGTTAGTACTCAAGACCATCCACTGAAATTACATGCAGAGGGATTCAGGACTAATAAAAGGAAATACTTTTATATGCATTGCATAAACTGGAATTTACTAACAGCTTTTGGGATAATGGCAAAAAATTTAAGTGATTTTTCAAGGAATTGACCTGTTCAAGGAGGGTAAGACTATTAGTGGCTATTAAAAATGATGGAAGTTTACAATTCCAATTCTTAGGCAACATGCTGTAATAATGTTGCTGGGAAGTGATGTAGAAAGAGGCTACTGCCCTATTCCAGGTTTGTGAGCTTTCCCAAGTTATCCAGTTGGCCACTGTGGAACACAGAATGTTGGACTGGATACGCCTATGGCTTAACATATCAGGCTTTTATATTCTTTTGCTTTTAAAATTTGACCAAAAGCAGCTTTACACTTGGTTAGGTTGTCCTGTGATTATAACTTCCATGTAACAAAGTTTGTGTCTTGAC